ACATGGGAAGGGTGTTGGGTGCGCCACTTGGGGAGCAAAGCTAGGAAGAGCACAGTTCCCATTCAGCCTGGGGCATCCAGTGAGGTGAGGTCCCATCTCAAAATGGATGCCAAATGGGTGTCACACACCTGTAATCCCAGCTACTCAGGAACCTGGGATCTGAGGATTGTGGTTTGGAGCCAGCGCCGGCAGGAAAGTCAATGAGATTTTTATCTTGAATTAATGAGCAAAAAGCCAAAAGTGGAGCTGTGGCTCAGTTGGTAGCGCATCATCTTTGAGCAAAAAAAAGACTAAAGGATGGCCCCCAGGCCCTGAGTTCAAGCCCCAGTATTGGTGCGAAAGAGAGAGAGAAAGAAGGAAGGAAGGAAAGAAAAAGGGAGGGAGGGAGGAAGAAAAGGAGGGAGGAAGGGAAGGAGGGAAGGAAGGGAGGGAGGGTGAGTAGACAGAAACAGAGCAGGCCGCGGGCCTCCGTCTCTGAGTCTGCTTCTTCTGTGTCCCCAAGGATCCCAGTGCAGGCCTGTTTTCCCACAGGCCAGTTCTCACCACACCCCAGATAGGCCAGGACTTGAATGTGGACGGGAGATGGGGAGCAGCCCGGATTGCAACACGCACGCACACACACACACACACACACACACACACACACACACCCAGGCTGGGAGCCAACATCAGGGTGTTGAACAGGGAGCTTGAAAAAAAATGGAGCCTACGTTCCTCAGGACCTTGGTGAACACGTGGGCGACCAGCCTGAAAGCCAAGGGTGCTGGAATTTGGGGTGTCAGGACAGGACGTGGGAGATTAACCCTAGGACGCCCTGTCCTATCCCTTTTCCTGACGCCCCAATGCCATTATGACACCCAGCAAAAAAAAAAAAGTAGCTGCCTGGCGCAGCCAGTGTGGTTCTTTCTTTGTAACCCACCCTGGGCGTCCTTCCTTGGCGGAGGCTTCCTCCAGGAAGACTTCCGGGATTGCTCACACTTTATTCCCACCCTTCCCCCTCCTTCTCCTGCCTGACTGCTAATCCATGAAGATGTCTGGATTAGTCACGTGGGCTCTAAGGATAAATAAACCAATGAAAGAATAAATAAATAAACCAAATGGAATAAATAAACCAATGAAGGAACTGTGGGAGAATGATAGGAGGTGTGAAGAAGGCAGGGTGATATAATAATAATGATGATAATGATCATAATAACAATCCTAAATAAAGATGGGAGGAGAGGAACTCCTGAATTTAGGACCTGGAAAGAAATACAAAAAGAGAAACAGCCGGGCTCTGGTGGCTCACGCCTATCATCCTAGCTACTCAGAAGGCTGAGATCTGAAGATCATGGTTCAAAGCCAGCCCAGGCAGGAAAGTCCATCAGACTCTTTTTTTTTTTTTGGGTCCGGTCGTGGGGCCTGAACTCTGGGCCTGGGCGCTGTCCCTCAGCTCTTCAGCTCAAGGCTAGCGCTCTACCACTTGAGCCACAGTGCCACTTCTGGCTTTTTTCTTTTTGCTCCTGTGGTACTGAGGAATCGAACCCAGGGCCTCAGGCATGCAAGGCAAGCGCTCTACCACTGAGCCACCTTCCCAGCCCCTCCATCAGACTCTTATCTCCAATGAACCACCAGAAAACCGGAAGTGGTGCTGTGACTCAAGCAGTAGAGCGCTTGCCTTGAACCAAGAACTTAAGGACAGCACCCAGGCTCTGAGTTCAAGCCGCATAACCAAGAGAAAGAAGAAAAAGAAAGATTTGAAAAGTTAAAAATTAGGAACCTCACTTCACCATTACCATTATTAACTTGCTAACTGCTGACTTTGCTTCTATAGATATGCTTGCATTCAGACCCCCTTTGGCCTGGGAGATAAAATTGGCAGTAACTCAAGTATTGGCAGGCCCAGATGTCCGGATATCAGCCCACCCAGGACAAGGACAGCGGTTATAGATAGTACATGTTTTTCAGTTCCAGATTAATTAAGCCATCCCTGGGACAAACCTTGACAACGACCACCTGGCAAGACCACAAGCTGAGCCAAGTGTCAGCCAATCATGGGCCTGTAACCATGTAAACCCCCCCTTAAACCAACCATGGGCCAGTCATTTTACAAAGAGTGTTACAAAATTTCCCGCGTGGCAAAGTGATTGTTGGTGTATATGGTGACTTTTAAATGGACCAATCATGGGATGCTTTGTGTGATGCGTTAATCTTGTGGTTTTTGCCTTTAAAAGTGCTTGTAACCGCTGCTCGGGGCTCCCTGTCTGGTCGGGACAGAGAGTCCGTTTGCGCAAACGTCAAATAAACTCCTCTTGCTTATTGCATCTCCCGGCCTGGAGTCTGAGTTTTCTGGGGCGCCCTCCCGTTGACGAAAGTATCCTAGGGGGCTAGGGTCTTTCAGATTCAGCAAAAATGCCAGGAGTGGAAGGTGTGGATCAAGTGGTAGAGCACCAGCCTTGGCTGCGTTCAAGCCCTTGGACCAGGCCCTGGGGACCGGTGTGAGGATTCGGGTAGAACTGAAATACACGTGTTCCCCGCCCCCACCCCCATACACACTATGCTGCAGGAAGCTGGGGACGTGTCCTGTGCGCCCCCCTGTGTCCATGCGTGGTACTGCAGGGCCACCTGAGGCCATACACTGAAAATTGTCAAGGACCCAAAGAAAGGGAGGAAGAGCAGAGCCCTCATCTTCCTCCCGGGCAGGCATGGGTTTAATCAAACTGGCTTTTGATTGAGGCAGTTGGGGAGGGGGGCAGATTTCTCTCATTGACTCCGTGTGTGTGTGTGTGTGTGTGTGTGTGTGTGTGTGTGTGTTGGGACTTGAACTCAGGGCCTCACACGCTCTTGCTTAGCTTTTCGTTTGTTTCCTCCACTCCAGGTTGGTGCTGTGCCGTTGGAGCCACACCTCTGCTTCCACCTTCTTGGTGGTTCATTTGGAGATAAGACTCTTCCCCCAAGTTTTCTAACGGGGAGCCTGGCTTCAAACCACAATCCTCAGATCTCAGCCCTCTGAGTAGCTGGGATTACAGGCGTAAGCCGCAGACTCTTCCCATTGATATAGAGGGGGTGTCTAAATCACCCAGCCTTCTCCCACCCCCTGCCTCCATGTGACTCCCCATCCCCCCAACGCTTTAAACACCTGCACGCAACTTCACCCCCAAATCTAAAACCTGAGTATGTTCCCCTGCCCGGCTGTACCCCTACTTCCCTCTGCTCCCCCAAACTCCCTGACTGTTCCTCTCACTGAATACCCTCCATACTCCAAACTCCTGACTGGAGCAATTGCCTTTTCTTTTTTTTTTTCCTGCTTGTTCCAAGAGCTACAGGCCTGGCATTACAGATAGTACATCTCACGGGGAAACTGAGGCATAGCACTACTTCTAACTCAAACCCCAAGTCCTCGTGTGTGCTTTCCATGCTTGCTGTGACCCCAGGGAGATGGCAGTGTCCCCTCCGCCCAGCCCCAGGCCTCCGGTGGAGAATTAAAGCACACACTTTGAGAAAGTCCTAGGGAAATAAAGGTCATTGGTTTATTTCCACCGGGAAACACAGAAGTAGGGGTGCGGGCCGGGGTGGGGGTGGGGTTCTCCTTCTAAACCAGCACAGAGTTGGGGACCCGATGATGACTGAGGGCCATGAAGACATCAGATCGGAAGCGGGGGTGGGGGGGGGGGTGGGGTGGGAAATGAGGATCTTGTGAGCCCCAGTCCCCAGCTGAGCAGATGGGGAGATGTCAGTACCTCCCCCCCAAAATGGCTGCCACAGCTGGGAGGGTCTGGGGGAAACCCAGTCAGGCTCCTTGAAGAAAGGGGCACTTTCATCAGGCCTCAGGGGTGACTGGAAAGAATTTTCTAGAAGGAAAAAAAAAGGGGGGGGGACTCAAATGAGACATTGAGACTTCAATGACCTTTCACCCAGATTTGGGGTGTGTGGGGGGGACAGTGCTCCAGAGACTTCTTTGTTGTTCCCCTCCTCATCCCTCCATCCACCTTGGGTTCCCCTCTTTTTTTTCCCCCTTCCACTAAAACAAATTTTGTGGTCCCCCCAGGTTGATGGATAACCAGCAGCCTCTGGCACTGCCAGGGCCTCTTCCGGGACCTTTGGCCCCTCAGTGGCCATCCGTGCCTCCAGTTCCCCGACCCACTTCCGGTCCATGCCGCAACTCAGCACCCTGCTTCTCGGAACTCTGCCATGTCGGTTCCATTTTCCTTTCAATCCTGTTTCCCAAATGGGCCTGGGGCCCTGGGTGTAGAGTCTGCACACAAAACCCACAGAGGGGTCTGGCCTCCCAGAGCACCCTTGGACTTCACTCCTGATGAGGCCCCAGGAAACGGCAAGGGCCCCAAGGCCCCAGGGGTGACACTTCGTTTATTTCCTCCCTCCCTCCCTTCCTTTCTTTTTTTCTTTCCCTTCCTTCCTTCCCCTCCCTCCCTTCCCCCCTCTTGCTTGCTACCATCCTGGGGCTTGAGCAAGCTCAGGGGCTGGGATTTTCTGCTCAAGGCCGGCACTCAGCCACTTGAGCCACACATCCACTTTTAGTGGATTCATTAGAGATAAGACTCTCTGGGACTTTTCCTACTCAGGCTAGCTTCAGACAGATCTCAGCCTCCTGACTAGCTACAATTGCAGGCTTGGCTGGAGGTAACCTTTCTTTCTTCCTTTCTTTCTTTCTTTCTTTCTTTCTTTCTTTCTTTCTTTCTTTCTTCCTTCCTTCCTTCCTTCCTTCCTTCCTTCCTTTCCTTCCTTCCTTCTTTCTTTCCTATTTATTTATTTATTTATTTATTTTTTGGTCAGTCGTGGGGCCTGAACTCTGGGCCTGAGCGCTGTCCCTCAGCTCTTCAGCTCAAGGCTAGCGCTCTACCACTTGAGCCACAGCGCCACTTCCGGTTTTCTGGCGGTTTACTGGAGATAAGAGCCTCATGGCTGTTCTTGCCCAGGCTGGCTTTGAACCGAGATCCTCCGATCTCAGCCTCCTGAGTAGCCAGGATGACAGGCGTGAGCCACCTATGCCCAGCACTTACCTACCAAAACTTCAGCCACTTCAGCACATCAGGCTGTGCCTGGGATGCCTGGGACACAAAGAGGCGGAGGGCAGGTGAGAATGGACGTGGACTGCCCTCCTCCCTCTCCAGCCTCAGGCCCGCTCTGTCCCCAGCCACATACTCACCGAGGAAGAAGGTGTGGTTCCTCCCTGTAAGACAAGAGCAGAGGAGGTTGTTCGGGGCCCCAGCAGCCTTGGTGGGCTCTGTGTGTGACCTCAGCCTCACTATGGATTTCTATCCCCCACCCATTGGTCATGCTGAGAACATTTTCTCATGGAGACGAGGTTGACCGCGGGCCCTGAGCCTGCAGAGATCCAGGCTGGTGGCGCTCTGGCTGCTGAGTAGGTAGAAACAGCCCACAGATCTTGGCCTGTTATGGACACCCACACGTGTTCACTATGTCCGTACTTCCCTCCCTCAGCCGCTGGGGCCTCAAGCTCTCATTCAGCTTGGTAGGCTCACTGAGCTGCACACTCAGCCCCACATATATATGTATGCATAAAATCTCAGGCTTTTGCATAGGCTGGTCTCAGAATGCAACCCTCCTACCTCTCTACCTCTAGCGTAGCTGAGATTACAAGTGCATGCTACTAAGCCTGTTTATTGAAATAACATCTCATTGTTGTTGGTTTTTTAACCCCAGCTGGCTTCAAATCCACCCATGTTTCCCCAATAGTTAGAATGATAAATGTGAACTACTATGCCTGACACTCCCACAACTGCTTTCTAAAAGGATTTAGCTTCCCTCACCCCCCACCAATGTACCATGGCTGCACCACACACACACAAACTTTTTTGTGTGTGCTGGTCCTGGGACTTGAACTCAGGGACTGGACGTTGTCCCTGAGCTTTTTTTTTTTTGTTGTTGGTCGTGGGGCTTGAACTCTGGGCCTGGGCGCTGTCCCTCAGCTCTTCAGCTCAAGGCGAGCGCTCTACCACTTGAGCTACAGCGCCACTTCCGGTTTTCTGGTGGTTTATTGGAGATAGGAGTCTCACGGTCTCTCCTGCCCGGGCTGGCTTTGAACCATGATCCTCAGATCTCAGCCTCCTGAGTAGCTAGGATTACAGGCGTGAGCCACCAGAGCCCGGCGTCCCTGAGCTTTTGTGCTCAAAACTAGCACTCTACTACTTGAGCCACCGTGCCACTTCCTGCTTTTTGGTGGTTCATTGGAGACAAGAGTCTCACAGATTGCTTGCTGCCCAGGCTAGCTACAGACCTCAGACTTCAAATAGCAATCCTCCACTCTCAGCCTCCTGACTAAGATGACAAGTGTGAGCCACCCGTGCCCAGCTCTTTTAGCCGTTTTAAAGAGCCCTGGCCAGTTGCTGCCTTCTGAGCTGTTCACAGGGCACCCATGTGTCAAACAAGGCTGGGTCCAGACTCACCTTCGGGGGCGCCTTCATGGAGTTCTGCTGGCCTTTGTCAGAGGCGTACGCTTGCTGGTTGTACTTGTGGTTATGGGGGACAAGAAGGGGAAGAGTTGAAGGTGCTTTGTTCTGGGATAAGCCCTCCCTGCCCACATTGAAACTGCTCTGACTATTCATGCGTGGTTTTCTTAATTTTTGTGTTTGTTTTTTATTGTCAGTCGTGGGGCCTGAACTCTGGGTCTGGGCGCTGTCCCTCAGCTCTTCAGCTCAAGGCTAGCGCTCTACCACTTGAGCCACAGCGCCACTTCCATTTTATTTTTCTGGTGGTTAATTGGAGATGAGTCTCACAGAATTTCCTGCTCAGACTGGCTTTGAATTGCGATCCTCAGATCTCAGCCTCCTGAGTAGCTAGGATGACAGGCATGAGCCACTGGCGCCCAGCACTATTCATTTTTTTATTCTTATTTTTTGGCGATGCTAGGGTTTGAACTCAGGTCCTCTCATTCTCTAGGCAGATGCTCTATGCCTTGAGTCATGCCTCTGCCACCTCTTCCTCTGGCTATGTTTTTGGGGGTTTCGTTGTGGGGCTTGAACTCTGGGCCTGGGCGCTGTCCCTCAGCTCTTCAGCTCAAGGTTAGCGCTCTACCACTTAAGCCATAGTGCCACTTACAGCTTTTCTGCTTATGTGGTGCTGAGGAATCAAACCCAGGGCTTCATGCATGCAAGGCAACCATTCTACCACTGAGCCACCTTCCCAGACCTTCCTTTGGCTATTTTTGAGATACAGTCTTGCTTTATTCCTTTTTTAAAACCTGGGCCAATCTGGACTGCAATCCTCCAGTTTATACTTCCTGCCATAGCTGGGATGACAGGTGCACATAACCATGCCCAACCTTTTCTGTTGAGGTGTGTGTAAGGGTGCCATGGAGCACTGGGAAAAAAAAACAAGCTAATTCCTCTTGGAAAGCAGTTGTAGGAGTGCTAGGCATAGTAGTTCACACTTATAATTCCATCTACTTGGGAGGTAGGAATAGAAAGATTGTTGGATTTGAGGCCAGCTGGATGTTTCTGAAACCCTTGCGTGTGTGTGTGTGTGTGTGTGTGTGTGTGTGTGTGTGTGTGTGTGCATGTGCACGCATAGTACCAGCTCCGGGGGCTTGCAGTTAGGGCCTGAACACTGTGCCTGAGCTTTTTGTGCAAGGATAATGCTCCACCCCTTGAGCCACAGCCACAGCAGCTTTTTGCTGCTTAATAGGAGTCTCACAGACTTTCCTGCCCTGGCTGGGTTTGAACCTTGATCCTGAGCAGCTGGGACAATGACCACGTGCAGAAGGAGGGCTAGGTGGGCGCAAGGCCTTGGGGCTCACCTGTTCAGCACCCCCGGCCCTCTTCTGTAAGGAGACCACGTCTGAGTCCTGAGAGGAGAAAGAAGCTCTGTCATGGCTGTCACGGTCCTCTGATCCAGGCAACCCCAGCGCTGGTGCACAACCTCTGCCCTGCCCGCCCTCGGCCCCACATCCACCCCACCATGGACAAGGCCAAGTGGATACCACGCCCCCCGCCCCCCACCGAGGGACAGAGGAGTTCACTCCACAGCTCAGCTGCATATGCTCACCAGACCTTTCTGGGTGGTTTGTTTTAGTGTGTGTGTGTGTGTGTGTGTGTGTGTGTGTTTTTGCCAGTCATGGTGCCTGAACTCTGGGCCTGGGCGCTGTCCCTCAGCTCTTCAGCTCAAGGCTAGTGCTCTACCACTTGAGCCACAGCGCCACTTCCAGCGTTTTCTGCTTATGTGGTGCTGAGGAATCGAACCCAGGGCCTCATGCATGCAAGGCAAGCGCTCTACCACTGAGCCACCTTCCCAGCCCCGTATGTGTGTATTTTTTATGCCAGTCCTGGAACTCGAACTGGGGACCTGGGAGCTGCCCTGAGCTTGCTTGCTTTCTTTCTTTCTCTTTCTTTTTTGTGCTCTACCACTTGAGCCACAGCACAGCACCAATTCTGGTTTGTGCTGGTTCATTAGAGATGAGTCTCAGAGTCTTAGAAACTTTTCTGCCCGGGCTGGCTTTGAACCGTGATCCTCAGATCTCAGCCTCCTGAGTAGCTAGGATTACAGCGTGAGCCACCAGCGCCCAGCTGTCTTGGGTTTTTTATCCCCATACTCCTTGTTCATGACTCACAGGCTTTCTTACACCCCACCTATTTGGGGTGGCACAAAGCAAGGAGGTGGGTCAGAAAGGAGGGAGGGGAAGAAGCCAGAACACCAGAATCAATAAGCCAAAGGCCCTGACCCTCGGTTTCCCAGAATGGAAAGTTTTACAGTCTTACCTCAATCTCTTTCCAGTTGAAGAAAGGAGTTCTGCGTTTGAAATCCTGAAAGGGAGAAGGGAGGACAGGTGAGCAGTCTCTCAGAAAGCCAGAAAACTGAGAGGGTCTAGGACAATCTTGAACCAGGCAGTGTAGCGCATGCCTGTAATCCAGCTACTCAGAAGGCTGAGATCGGAGGATCATGGTTCAAACTCAGCCTGGAGAAGAAATTCTATGAGACTCTTATCTCCCTATGCACCACTACAAGCCAGAAATGGAGCTGCGGGTGACCATTAGTCTCAAGTGAAAAAAAAAAAGTTCACGTGACAGCACCAGGCCCTGAGTTCAAGTTCCCGGTGCGGGGTGGGGGTGGGAAAAGCTAGAGAGAGTTTGGGGCTCTGGGGTGTTGGGGGAGAGGCCCCATGGAGTCACTGGGTGCAGTTAAGGAAGGCATTCATGGTGGGGGGGTGGGGCAGGGATGATCCAGGACCCCCCCCCAGGTTGTTGGGAGAGGGGGACAGTTCCTACCTCCCAAAGTCGGCGGAAATAGAGCAGAGCTCGGGTGCTGGGAGACGGGACGTGACCCTGTGAATGAAAAAATGGGGAGACTTGTTTGCAAGGGCCACAGTGATCTAAGGCCCAACTCACCCCCCCCCCCCCCCCGTCCCCAAAACACAGGCATGTTCTGTCTTCTCCTGGTCCCCTTCCTTGGGAGGACATCTGTATAGCAGAATTGGGGGACCCAGACCTCCCCATTTTTTAAACCGCATCTCCAGTGCTTCTCTGACCCCTGATCCACCCACCCATCCACCCAGGACAGCAGTGGAGATGGAAGAATGGAGGAGAGACAGGTGGCTGAGAAGCACCATGGCTGGCTTCCGGCTGAGGGTTTGGAGGAGAGTCTTTTGTTGTTGTTGTTATTGGCTATGGGGATTGAACTCTGGGCCTGGGTGCTGTCTGTGAGCTCTTCAGCTCAAGGTGAGCACTCTACCACTTGAGCCACAGCGCCACTTCTGGTTTTCTGGTGGTTTATTGGAGATAAGAATTTCACGGCCTTTCCTGCCAGGGCTGGCTTTGACCTGTAATCCTCAGATCTCAGCCTCCTGAGTAGCTAGGATTACAGGTATGAGCCACTGGTGCCTGACCCTTGAGGGGACTCTTAAGTAGGGTTAATGTTGGGGGGGGGCTCCTATCCCCTCCTCCTGAGCAAAAAGAAAAGTGTTCTAAGAGAAAGCTTGAGGCCAGGCGCCGGTGGCTCACGCCTGTCACCCTAGCTACTCAGGAGGCTGAGATCTGAGGATCATGGTTCCAAGCCAGCCCGGGCAGGAAACTCCATGAGACTCTTACTTCCAATGAATCACCAGAAAACAGGAAGTGGCGCTGTGGCTCAAGTGGTAGAGCGCTCACCTTGAGCTGAAGAGCTCAGGGACAACGCCCAGGCCCAGAGTTCAAGCCCCAGGACTGACCAAAACAAAAAACAAAAAAAGAGGCTTGAAGAATGGCATTTTCTTTTTTCAGGGGAGGGACATTGAGGCAAGGCAGGGGAGTAGGAATATGCTGCTTCTGAGGTACACAGGGACCTGAGGCTGCCATGATCACTGCACAAGTCCAGATGGCCCAGCTGGGGCTTGATGGCCCCGAAATCTCAAGAACATTCCATAAGTGGTTGGGATCAATTTGAGCCTTGATTCCTTCTCAGAGACCCTGGCTCTCGTCCTGGCCCCTCCCTCCCCAAGCTGGAGCAGAGGCAAAGCCTTCCTCCCTCCCGCCTTACCTTGTCCACAGCGTCCCAGTTAATGAAGCCCATCTTGGATTTTAAGTTCTGCAGAGAAACAGAAAGAATTGTCCAAACATCTGGTCATCAGCCAGAGCACTGGTGGCCAGCACCCAGCATCCTGGCTGCTTAGGCTGAGATCTGAGGATTGAGGATAGAGGCCAGCCTGGTTGGAAAAGTCACTAAGACTCTTTTTTAAATTTTTTTATTTTTTGGGTCCGGTCGTGGGGTCTGAACTCTGGGCCTGGGCACTGTCCCTCAGCTCTTCAGCTCAAGGCTAGTGCTCTATCACTTGAGCCATAGGGCCACTTCCAGTTTTTTTTCTTTTTGCTTATGTGGTGCTGGGGAATCAAACCCAGGGCCTCAGGCATGCAAGGCAAGCACTCTACCACTGAGCCACCTTCCCAGCCCATCACTAAGACTCTTATCTGTAGTGAACCACCAAAAAGCCAGACTTCAGCTGTGGCTCAAGTGGTAGAGCACTAGCCTTGAGCACAAAAGCTCAGGGACAGTGTCCAGACCCTGCATTCAAACAAGTAAATAAATGAAAGTACTTGGGCCTGTAGGGCCATGGCCAGCGTGAGTTTTCCAAAGGAAGAAGGAACCCCAGAACAATCGTGTGAGACTCACCTTCCAGAAGTAGTCAAAGTTGAAGGGCCCAGGAGACTTCGGAGAGTTCTGAGGAAACATACAGAAAAGAAGTAAGAAGTCACTTTGTGAGCAAGAGGCCAGGATAGAGCCAGGAGCCGGTGGCTGCATTCCAGCTACTCAGGAGGCTGAGATCTGAGGATGACAATTCAAAGCCATTCTGGGGTAGAAAAGTCTGGGAGCCTCTGATCTCCAATAAACCAGCAAAATTCCAGAAATGGAGCTGTGGCTCAAGTGATAGGGCACCAGTTGTGAGCAGAGGAAAAAAAAAAAAAAAAAAGAGCTCAGGGACAACACCCAGGCCCTGAGTTCAAGCCCCAGTACCAGTGTTTTTGAGGCAGGGTCAGGAAGTATGGTGGTCAGAGGCCGAGTGGGCCTGGCACTGAGGTAGTTGAGACTTGAACTCACCACTGTATTGAGTCCGCTGAAGGTGTCACCTCTTCCGCTCTCCTCACTGGACCCTTGGCCCTGGGTGAAGGAAGGGGGTGCTGGTGACCATGCGAATATGGGGTACACATCTGACACCGGCTGTGCCGTCCCTCATTCAGCCCCTGCGGCCCCACCCAAGCCCCGCCTTCCTGGAGTGATTGGCACAGTCTAGCTCCGCCCACCCCATCCTAGCTCTGGCCTCTTCCTGTCTTCACAGCACCACTGAAAATGGTAAGCATAGCTCCCGTGTGGTCCTACTGTGTGTGCCATGCACTGAGTCTTATCTTACCACATTTCTGGGTGGATGATGCTTCTGTGTGTGTGTGTGTGTGTGTGTGTGTGTGTGTGTGATGTACTTGAACTCAGCTCCTGTGGAGTTGCTACAAGTCACTGTACTTTGGGTTCAAAGGTGGGGGTTCAAATACCACTTCTATACCCTGTCATGCTCTGTGAGCACTGGCTTCCCGGGGGTCAATCTGGGACACCGAGGCCTGACTTATTTTCCTTAAAGCCAACCTGGGCAGGAAAGTCTGTGAAACTCTTATGTCCAATTAATTACCATAAACAAGCAGGAAGTGGCGCTGTGGCTCAAGTGGTAGAGCGCTAGCCTTGAGCTGAAGAGCTGAGGGACAGCGCCCAGGCCCTGAGTTCAAGTCCCAGGACTGGCAAAAAAAAAAAGAAAGAGGGGAGACAGGAGGGAGGGAGGAAGGGAGGAAGGGAGGGAAGGAAGGAAGGAAGGAAGGAAGGAAGGAAGGAAGGAAGGAAGGAAGGCAGGCAGGCCATAAGGATTTTTCTGGTTCTTTTCCCTGGGCCTGGAGTTCTACCCTCTGCCCCAGGGTCCCTCCTGTCCTCTGGCTCACCTGATGGCCACTCTGTGAGCTCCCCAGGGAGTGACCACTTTCTCTGCTTTCCTAGGGGGACAGAGAGTGGGAAGTGAGCAGGAGGGATGGCAGGACGGCAGGGTGCAGGTACGGGGTGACTTGTGGGTGCTGGGACCCCAGAGGAGCTCCTCGCTGGGCAGCAGTCCATCTTCTCTGGCAGACCTGTGCCCAGCTCTCATCTGAGGGACCCCATGAGTAGCTTCGGGACAATGTCTGTCCGTTCTTTCTTTTTCTTCAGACCTGTGACTTGTACTTGAATTCAGACCTGCTGCTTTGGCTCATTGGCTGGTGCTCTACCAACTGAGCCACGCCTCCAATCCCTGTCTGTTAAATTCACTTGTACAAACTGCCCCAAATTCTCCCAAAGCATCTGGCTCTCCCCTAGTTGTCTTCCTCCTGTGTGTGTGCATGCGTGTTGGCACTGGGACTTGAACTCAGGGCCTGGACGCTGTCCCTTAGCTTTTTCAATAACTAGCACTCTACCACTTGAGTCACACCTCCACTTCTGGATTTTTTTTTTTTTTGCTGGCTCATGGGAAGTAAGAATTTCATGGACTTTCCTGCCCAGACTGGCTTTGAACCTCAATCTTCCAAGCCTAGCAATTTCTCACAGCACCAGTTGGATGTAAAGTGAGAGACAGACTTGATTGACAGCTCATGCTCTGTATTTCTTGTTTAGGACCAGCCCTGCTCTTGCTGTTGATTGACAGCTGGTGTTCTGGATTCCATGTTTAGGATGGGCCCTCCTGCTTGTTGATTGGAGATGGGCCTCAGGCATGTGGGGGGGGGGGCTGGTGACTCGGGCACTGGGCAGTCACAAGCTAGGGTCTGTGGTCCTTACCTGACTCCCAGATTCTTTGGCCATCCACACGTCATTCCCTGAATTCTCACACTGTGGAAATGGGAGACTTTTAGTCCTTTCTGGGTCACCAATCCCAGCCCCTAAAAGGCAGCTTTTTTTTCTTTTCAGAAGGGCTTTACCCTTGCTAGGCAGATGCTCTACCACCCGAGCCACACCCCCAGTTTAAATTTTTTTTCCAGATAAGATCTTGTACTTTGAAACCTGAGACCAGCCTTCATCCAAAAACCTTCTACCTTTGCCTCTGGAGAGGTAGATTATGGATCTGGGGAGCTGGGATTACAGACATGAGCCACCACACCCAGTTGAGATGAGGTCTAGCTAGTTTCTCACCCACTCCCTGCCCCAGCCTGGCCTAATTATGCCTCCCACATAGCTCGGATTATAGGCATGAGCCACTGCACCCAGCCCCCAAAGGGAAATATTTTCAGTAGCTGCAACCACCCCACATCCCCCAACCTCCAAGGTTTGCTATCCCCGGTTTCTTTTCTTTCAGAGTTTGAGACTTTGATGTCCACCTTCCCTCCCTTCCTGGTCACTCACCTCGGGTTTGCTCATGCTGCCTGCTCCTCCACCATTTCCACCGCCTCCACTGCTGCCACTTTCTCGGCTTCCGCTGCTGCCACTATTTTCTCGGCTTCCACTGCTGCCACTAGTTTCTCGGCTTCCGCTGCTCCCACTATTTTCTCGGCTTCCACTGCTGCCACTAGTTTCTCGGCTTCCACTGCTGCCACTAGTTTCTCGGCTTCCGCTGCTGCCACTATTTCCACTGCTACTGCTTGAGGAGTCAGAACCAGTTCCCTGGAAACAAACAAGAGCCCCCATCTTTAAAAGGACTTATAAAAAAGACCCAATTTTCAAGCCAGAGCTGGTGGCTCACACCTGTCATCCTAGCTACTCGGGAGTCTGAGATCTGAGGATCTCAGTTCATAGCCAGTCTGGGCAGGAAAGTCCGTGAGAACTCTCATCTCTAATTATCTACCAAAAAGATGGAAAAGGAACTGTGGGTCAAATGATGAGTCCTAGCCTTGTTCGAAAAAGCCAAGGGACAGTGCCCAGGCCTTGAGTTCCAGGCCCCTGTGTAGAGGAGACCCTCCATCAAGTTCCAACCCTCTTCTCCACCCTCCATGCCCTCCTCAGCTGCCTAAGGTGTGTGGGGGTTGGGGGTGGGGCATTTACCTGAACAGCAGAGTGCTAGGTGTGGCTGGTTGCATTTGGAAATGTTGAGATTTGGGGAATCTAAATTTTTGTCCTGTCCATCTCTCACAGAGAGACAGAGGTGCATTCACACACACACATACACACACACACACACACACATTCACACACACACACATACACACACATTCACACACACACACACACACACACACACACGTTTCCACCACTTGCCACCAGGGGGTGGACAGGAGCACACACAATAATGGTACATTACCATCACCCACCACCAGGGGCAGGTTAGGGGCAGACAGGAGTGAGCACAACTAATGCTGCATACCACCACCCACCACTAGGGGCCAGCAGGAGCTCATACGCTAGAGGCCCATTACCACTGCCACCAGGCAGCAGGCAGGAGCTCACACACTAGTGGTGTATTACCATCACCCACCACCAGGGGCAGGTTAGGGGCAGACAGAAGCGCACACACCAGTGTGCATGCCACCATCCATCACCAGGAGCAGGCAGGAGCTCATATTCTAGAGGTGCGTTATCAGTATCCACCACCAGGGGGCAGGCAGGAGCTTGCTCTGCCCCAGCCCTTCCTCCCCACCCCTCACAGAAGAAAAGCAGATGTGGGGGGCAGGGTCCCCCAAATCCTTACCCTGGAAACGGAAAAGGACGTATCACAGTTAGGAGTTTCTCTGTCCTAGATGGAGGAGGAAAGATATTAGTACAAGAGGCTGCACATGAAAGATACTTCTCATTATTACCGCCCCCTCTCTTGCTGATACCACAGACCCCAGGGAAGCTGGGACCAGTGCCCCCCCTTTTTTTCTGTACCTCCTTTTCTTGTCTTTTTGCCAGTCCTAGGGCTTGAACTCAGGGCCTGGGTGCTGTCCCTGAGTGCCTTATGCTAAAGGCTAACTTGTACTTGCACGCCCTTTGTTAGACCTTTACCTGTGGACCCCAGTTGACCCTCCTCTCTGTCCTGGGGTTTGAACTCAGAGCCTGGGCGTTGTCTTTGAGCTTCTTTTGCTCAAGGCTAGCATTCTATCCCTTGAGCCACAGCACCACTTCTGGCTTTTTCTGTGTATGTGATACTGAGGAATCGAACTCCGGACTTCATGCACGCTAGGCAGGCTCTCTATTACTAAGCCACCTTCCCAGCCCTGGTATTCTTCTCTACCTGCCTTCCTTCCTTTCTCCTCCCCACCCTGCTCAGACAGGCTGATCAGGCCCGGAATCAAGGTGAGACAACGGGTAGAACTTTCCCATCTTGACAGGGCAGCTCTTGGGGAAGCTTGCCCTGCCCAGGTGGATGAGCAGGACAGCAAAGAGGGGGAACAGAGCTCCACGAGGGGCATGGCTGACTGAGGCCAGCCAGGCTGGCACTGTGGTGGCTCCCGGGGAACCCCAGAACTTCCTTCCTCGACAGGGCCCCCCAGGACACACACCCCATCCCTGCCTTCAGCTGAGGGACAAAACTCACTCTGCTGGACCCAGAACTGCCGCCGCCGCCGCCGCCACCGCTGCTGCCACTGCTGCTGCCACTGTTTCCACTGCTGCCACCTTGGCCACTGTGGCCGCCGCTGCCGTGGCTGCCGCCGCCGTGGCTGCCGCTGCCGTGGCTGTTACCACCAGAGCCACTGCCTCCTCCGCCACCACCGCCTCCCTGAGGGGCAGAGGAGAACGGGATGGTAGGGCCAAGGCCAAGATCATCAAGGCCTTGGCCCCCTGCCCATGCCCCCACTGGGCACGGGGTGCCATGGGGACCCCCCCTCTCTTACCAACAAGTTGCTGGAGCTGCCCCCGGAGCCGGATGGCGGTGAGTTGGTGCACTAGGGGGGGGGGAGGTGACAGTTTTGTCATGGCCAGGCTGCAGCCTGGGTTTCTCCCCTCCCCCCCCTGCCAAGCCCCCCATCAGCCCCCCCTCCCAACCCCATGGCTGTCTCTGTCCCTCAGAACCCCCCCCCCCCCGCCCCTTACCTCGGAACTACTACTTCGTACAGAGCCATAGCCGGGCTGCGCCACAGCTCCCTGCAGGAAAGGGGAAGACAGGAATCTGAGATGCGGACAACACCCCAAAACTAAGGGGGTGCCATGTGGCTTGAAGGGAAGGCAGGAGCGTCCCCTTACCTGGTCGTTGGTCCTGTAGTTCAGCGGCCCTCCTGCGTTCCCCCCCTGGCTGGCGGAGCCGCCCGCAGAGTTGGTTCCAAAGCTGGCTTGGGGGCTTCCAGGGTGCGCGTGCCCCAAGGGGGACCAGGGCCCCCCAGCATTGCCCTGTGAGTTGAACATGCCATGGCCTCCAGAAGTGCCCTGAAAGGGAGAATGGCACATGGGGCTTCTCGCAGCCACAGATCACCTACTGGGCTGCTCAGGAGGCTGAGATCGGAGGATCGAGGTTCGAAGCCAGCCAGGGCAGGAAAGTCCTCAAGACTCTTAGGTGTAATGAACCAGCAAAAAGCCAGAAGTGGAGCTGTGGCTCAAGTGGCAGAGCGCTCACCTTGAGCCACTCAAACAAAAACCTCAGAGACAGGGCCCAGGCCCTGCGTTCAAAGCCCCAGGACTGGCACCCCAAGAGCAAATCCACTCATGAATGACGAGGGACAGATGCTAGGGGCAGAAAGCGTTCCCACCTGAGACCCGGGGATCCTGACAACCATTTCCCAACCCTGCCCGGGGTCCCCCTGGGGTACTCACCCACACCCCAGAGTGGTGGGTCCCCTCCAGTCCACGCCGGATCATGTCCTCTGCCTGTCTGCCCGCCTCTTCTCCAAGGCTGCGGGCAGCTTCTCCCAGCTCATGGCCTCCGTGCTCCTGGCCCAGGGCCCCCTGCACCCCTGAGCTGGCGGCCTCCTTAGCGCCTTGGCCCAGCGCCCCCTGGAGCCCCGCGCGGCCGGCGTCTCCCCCTCCCTGCCCCATAGCCTCATGCACGCCCTGGCTGGCAGCCTGGCCCGCGCCCTCACCCACCGCTTCCCCAACTCCATGGCTAATGGCCTCGCCCAGGCCCCCGTGCTGCAGGGGGCCAGCCGCCCCGCTGCCCAGACACAGCGCTAGCAGGAGCCAGCCCAGGGACCCCCACACCTGCATCTCTCCCCCCAGAAGCCCCACGTCCTTCAGGCACACCCCCCTGATCTTCTTCCTGCCCCCCAGGCGGCTTTGGTTTTTCTTCCCCCGCCCCCCTGGGCCTTCTCTTCCTCAGCCTTCCTTGGAAACGCACAGCCCTTTCTGGTCCTTTCTAGAATGTGGGTTCCCTGCCACTTGCCCTTATACTGTTGGTTGGGGACAGAGTTGACAGGGCTGGGTGGCCTTGGGTCCCTCCTCCCTGTGACTCAAAGCCCAGCCACTGATAGGGTAATGAGTCCTAATTGAGAGTGTTGAAACAGAGAGACAGAGAGAGAGACAGAGAGAGACAGAGAGAGAGAGAGAGAGAGAGAGAGAGAGGGCGCACTAGGCCCGGGGAGGGACAGAAGAAATGGGATGAGGTGAGTACAAAAAAATCTCTTTGTTACCCAACCTTTAAGAATTTGGGGCACAGGATGGGGTGGGGACCAGCTGAGGAGCCACATACCGGGTCCCCAGAGGCTGGCAGCTGGGGACAATCTGAGGGAGAGGTCCCACTTAGGCAGATGGGACCCCCAAGCCAGAGAGGGAAAGAAGAGAGCCCATCTAAAGGGGACCGCCCACTGGCACACCCTCATCTTAGGTAAACCACATGTCAGGGTACAGGGAGCCAGGCTTGGCTCCTCTCGGTCTGAGTTGGTAGGGGTCCCCTCCACAGGGCACCCCCAAAGATGGCTGCTTTCTTATTCCATGGTATCGTCAAGTGACGGAGAGCCGATCGGGTGTTGCAGGCCTGAGTTCAAGTTCTGCCCTGGGGCTTCGGGGGACATGAGGCGACAGACCCATGGGATTGGTGGTGGCCATGCCTCAGTTTACCCTTCAGCCCCGTCATGGAGAAAGCTGGGTGTGGAGCCAGGTGAGCTAGGCGGGCTAGCTCTCGAGGTGGGGGGGGAGGAGGGAGGGAACGGACAGTGGGAGGGAGAGACTAAGGGAGGGACCCCTGACCCAGGTCTCCATCCTGTTTACCTGGATGGAGGGACACATGTTGCAAATGCACAGTGAGCTCAGGGCTGCCACAGGGGAGGAGCACCCCAGGATTTACCACACCCCGGGGGCCCAGCCTCCCTCCAGGAGCCGGCACAGAAGGGGTCACCAGAGGGCAGAAGGCATCTGTCAGCACCCTGCTCCTCGCCTGACATGGAGAATTCAAGTCACCACCTCCAGCAAGTATGGCCGCTTCGGTTCTCACCCCTCCCCTCCCCCCGCCTCCCATTGGGCCCGTCCTGTATCGCTGGAATCCATCACTGAGTTAGGAGAGGCCAGTTTCCACGGGGCCTTTCTCAATGCCTCTCCCGCTCCACCCCACGCCCGCACCCCAGCGCGTCTCTTCAGCAGGTAAACACCATTCCTGCCCTGGCAGCCTCCATCTCCCGCCTCCCGCCTCTGCCCTCTGCCCGCTGTAATGAGGATAATAATGGTGCTCGTGGTAATGAGGAAAATAATGGTAGTCATAAGGGCAGATCCAGCCCATCCAACTGGACGCCGCTCTGGGAGATTGTCGTGTGTGTGTGTGTGTGTGTGTGTGTGTGTGTGTGTGTGTGTGCGTGTCAGGGCTCAAACTCAAGGCCTGAATGCTGTCTAACTTAATTTCTTCACTCAAGGCTGGCATTCCACCCCTGGAGTCACAGCTCCACTTCCAGCTTTTAGTTGGTTCACTGGAGATAAGAGTCTCATGGACGTTCCTGCCCAGGCTGGATTTGAACCCTGATCCTCAGACCTCAGCTTCCTGTGTAGCTAGGATGACAGGTGTGAGCCACCAGCTCCTGGCTTACCGTCCCACTTAAGGGCAGACACAGGGGCTGTGAAAGCTCCGCCCCTTGTGTCAGGCCTGTCAATCACTCCAGCATACTCCCCTCCCCATGGAAGCCCCCTCCCCTCCCCTTCCTTCGTCTCTGAGGAACAGCTCAGGGTTGCAGCAGAACTCTGGGCTCCTGAGGCCCCAGCCTGCCCCCACTTCCATCAGCCAGGGGTGTGGGGCAGAGAAGGGGCTCTGGGCAGAGATTTCTTCCCAGCCACTCCCAGAGAACCCCACATTCCCAGCGCTGATCCTCCCATCCCCCACCCCCTTTCCATCAACAAGACCTTTCTTACACCAGCTTAGTTTCTGACCTGAGAATATGTGAAGTTAGACACTCTGGCCTGCCATCCCAGCTACTCAGGAGGTTGAGATCTGAAGATTGAAGTTCAAAGCCAGCCCAAGCAAGAAAGTCCATGAGACTCTTATCTGAGCAAAAAGCCAGAGTGGAGTTGTGACTCAAGTGGTAGAGTGCCAACTTTGAAGGAAAAAGTCAAGCAATAGGGTTTGAGTTCAAGCCCAGTATCTCTGTGTGTGTGCACACACGCACACACACACACACACACACACACCTTTCTGGAAAGGTCCAAACAAATGCTGGTGCTTTTTTTGGGAGTGTGTCTGAACTGAAGGCCTTGAGCTTGCTGGTCTCTATCACTTGAGCCGTGACCCTACTTATTTTTCAGATAGAGCCGCAAGTCTTTGCCTGGAGCTGGCCCCAGATAACCATTCTCCTGCCACACCCTGGTCATAGCTGGGATTATAGGTCCATGACACCATACTCAGCTTTTATTGAGATGAGGTCTCTCAAACTCTTTGCTGGACTGTCCTTGAATACTGAGGCTCCGTATCTCTACAGTTACTGGGGATTCAGGCATGAAGCACCATGTCCACATATAGAAGCTCAGTGTGTGTGTGTCTGTGCATCTGTGTGTCTGTCTGTCTTGGGGCTTGAACTCAAGGCCTGGGCACTGTCCCTGAGCTTTTTCTGCTCAGGGCTGGTGTTCTACTACTGGAGTCACAGCTCTACTTTTGGCTTTTTAGTGGTTCATCGGAGATAAGAGTCTCATGGACTTTCCTGCCTAGCTGGCTTTGAATGGCAAGCCTCAGATTTCATTGTAGCTGGGATTACAGGCATCAGCCACAGCACCCAGCAGGGAAATATTCTTGATTGGAGTGCTGGCTTCCCTGTGCGATCTGGGTGTCCTGAGGTAATGCTCTCCCTCTCAGCCTCATGCCCATTGTTGGAGAGGGGGTTAATCATGGTCCTGGCCGCGTGGGAGGTGGCCAGGATGGAATGAATCACGTCCCTAAGTGCTTAGCACAGATTCAGTTAGCAGCCAATAAAAGGTAGCTGTGCAGACCCCACCCAGACTCCTCACCCTGCGCCAGCCTGCGCCAGCCTGGGTGGAAACTGGCTTTTCCTCTCCTCCATGCCTCCCGGCCTCTGTCCACCCTTCTTGGCAAGGAAACCCATTTCTCATTCATTCTGATCCCAGAAGTCTTTCTCAAGTCAGTTGCTCAAACACCACACTTGGGAGCTGGCCTTGACCTGGTGTTGGAACTCCTAACCGAGGAGGAAAACAGCTCTTCCGTGATACAATGGTGATACAATGACAAATTGCCACCACAATGTGAAGCCTGAGATGGGGGAGGATGCAGGCTGGCTGCTCACGCCTGTCATCCTAGATACTCAGGAGGCTGAGATCTGAGGATCGCAGTTCAAAGCCAGCCCAGGGAAGGAAGGTCCATGAGACTCTTATTTCCAATAAACCATCAGAAAACCGGAAGTGACACTGTGGTTCAAGTGGTAGAGTGCTCACCTTGAGCCGAGAGACAGCACCCAGGCCCAGAGTTCAAGCCCCATGACCGAGAAGAAAAGAAATGAGGAGGAGGAGGAGGAGGAGCAGCAGCAGCAGCAGACGTAGGAAGATCATCATCCAAGGCTAGTCCCTGGCCAAAGTTTAAGGTCCTAAGGTAGGTAGGTAGGTTGGTAGATAGATAGATAGATAGATAGATAGATAGATAGACAAAATATCCCTAAAAACTAAAGGACCTTAGAGAGTATTGTGCTCCCTGACTGCAACTTGACAGCAAAAAAAAAAAAAAAAATGAAGGCCACAAGCAACTGGTGGTTCACATAATCTCAGCTACTCAGGAGGCTGAGACCTGAAAATCACAGTTTGAAGCCAGCCTGGGCAGAAAAGCTTGTGAGACTCTTATCTCCAATGAACCACCCAAAAGCTGGAAGTGGAGATGTGGCCCAAGTGGTAGAGCACCAGCCTTGAGTGGTAAAAGCCAAGTGAAAGCACGAGGTCCTGAGTTCAAGCTCTAGGACTGACGCGTGTGGGTGCTCACACATGCACACGCACACACGCACACACGCACGCACGCACGCACAAGCACCGCCATATGGCATCATGCTGAATACAGTTAGCACCTGACTCCTCACGGTTTAGGCTCCAGCTCGCTTCCCATTTTGATCACTGACACCTCGCTTCAGACTGCTTACTCCGTCTGGCGCTTTTGGCGGACAGAAGAGGAGCAGCAAGGGTCTCGGTGAGGGTTTGCAGGAGCAGCGCTGGCTTTGCTGGGAGGACAGAACCTTTGCTAAAATGCAATTACCTTTTTTTTTTTCCTTTCGAAACAAGAAAATCTTAAAGAAGATCTTGTGGATTTTTCTACAGTGACAGATTTAAGAAAGCAGGTCAGGTTGCTGCTATTAAATGATACTTTTATCTTCACTAATTCATTTTAGTAACCCCTCATGCATTTTTAATTAACCCATTTTAGCAAACCCTTATGTATTTCTGATAGATGCTTTAGGTATCGTTAAACAGGTCTTTGTACTCCCTTACCTCCCCCTTCCCCTCTCCACTTTCTGCCCTCCAGGGCTCTTTTTATTAATGGAATTTCTCCAGCTATAGAGGGAAAAAAATAGTAAAACCCTCATATGTACCAAAGTCCTATGGACTTAATGAATTACTTTTTCCAGGGATACCTGGGTTTTAGGAGAGAAAAGAGCAGATGTGGAATGAGAGGGTAGAGATTGGGTGGGGGAAAGAGGAGCAGAATTCGTATACGCTTCAAATTATATGGCTGATCTCTAGTCCCAGTATTTCTAGGGTAAGTGACTATTAAGCAATACTCAGCCATCTACTAGTTCATTTGGGTCAACTGCGTACCTTCCAGATATTTAGCCCTTGACTGAAGAAATGGCTCAAGTGGTAGAGCGCCTTCCTACTAAGTACAAGACCCTGAATTCAGACTCTAGTTTTTAGCTCTTGTGCTGTTCTGGAATCAGAGAGCTAACGCAGCCATATTTCTTGTCAGATTTTGATGGAACACAGGTTGTTAGATCGTTCGCCTCAGTTCTATACCTAATGTAGGATAATAGTCATGCATGTGATGATATCTATATATGTGAACTTGTCACGACTTACAACAAATATTCCCTGATTTTTATATTTTGAGATAAGTTAGGTTGAATTTCACATCACAAGGGAAGTTCTCTGACAATATATATATATTGGGGGGGTCCGGTTGTGGAGCTTGAACTCTGGGCCTGAGTGCTGTCCCTCAGCTCTTCAGCTCAAGGCTAGTGCTCTACCACTTGAGCCACAGCACCACTTCTGGCTTTTTCTACCTATGTGGTGCTAAGGAATCGAACCCAGGGCCTCATGCATGCAAGGCAAGCACTCTACCACTGAGCCACCTTCCCAGCCCTCTGACAAAATATTAAGAGAAGAAAGAAGCAAGCCAGTGTGACCTGTTAGAGCTAAGAAAGTCTTTCTGACCTTCTCCACAAAAGACCTTTCGGCCTGTTAAGATCTTGCTAGTGAAGAGTTTAAGAGCTAAGATAGGTTTGGTTTGTGCTGGAGTGTAACAGTAAGTGAATGCATTTTTCCCTTGAACCCTGAGCCAGTAACTATGCCAAGGGGAAAAGCAGGAAGAACATACCGATTCATCTAAAGAAATCAACTAATATCAAAGGTTGAAGGTTATGATCACTGAAACGTCCGTGGTTTTGAATGATGCTTTTTCAAAGGCAGCTGGGAATCTTTCTGTGTTGTTGTTGCTAATGTACATGCACTAACTGGAGCAGCAGTTCCAGGGTGGGAGCCCAGGGCTGCAGATTCAAGTTAGTTCAAAAGCTAAATGAGGGGCTGGGAAGGTGGCTCAGTGGTAGAGCGCTTGCCTTGCATGCCTGAGGCCCTGGGTTCGATTCCTCAGCACCACATAAGCAAAAAGAAAAAAGCCAGAAGTGGCGCTGTGGCTCAAGTGGTAGAGCGCTAGCCTTGAGCTGAAGAGCTGAGGGACAGCGCCCAGGCCCAGAGTTCAGGCCCCACAACCAGACCCCCCCCCCCCCGCCCCGCAAAAAAAAAGCTAAATGATTTAAAGTCAAGTTTTAATGTTAGGCACAAGCACTCTGTAAGAAGTTAAAACTTAGCCCAAGCAATTAGGGAATGTTTCTGAAATAATAAACTTATATTTATGTCACTAAAATTCTAACACAAATTAAAAAAAAAGTCTCATACGTATGTTCTTCTGGGCTTCCTGATGCATTTCTAAATTTGTGTATCATTTGAATATATGGAAGAATTTATACAAGAGTGTTATTTAAATTATTAATAAATGTATATAATTTGTACCTATTTTTTTTTTTAAAAAAAAAGAAAGCATGTCAGGGCTGGGAAGGTGGCTCAGTGGTAGAGTGCTTGCCTCACATGCATGAGGCTCTGGGTTCGATTCCTCAGCACCACATAAGTAGAAAAAGCCAGAAGTGGCGCTGTGGCTCAAGTGGTAGAGCGCTCACCTTGAGCTGGAGAGCTGAGGGACAGCGCCCAGGCCCAGAGTTCAGGCCCCAGGACCGACAAAAAAAAAAGTATTGACAGGTGTGATTGGGGGAATTTATTTTTTTTAATTTAATTTAATTTAATTTGTGAACATACTGTACAGAGGGGTTACAATTACATGGGCAGGATAATGCGTACATTTCTTACCAAGCATTGCAGCCTCCTCCTTTGGTTTACCCTTCACCTCCCTTCCCAGCCTCCCCCCTCCCCCCAAATTGGGGAAATTTAATAAAATGATACTGGTGGAATTTGAGTGTGTGTGGTATGGGGGACAAGCGGGTGTCCACTGTAAGTTTCTTCTATCTTTTGGGCATATTAGCCGTGTTCAGACTTTTACAGGCAGGGGAGGGAAGGAGGGAAGGAAATGCTGGTGTCCCACAGAGCAAGAGGCAGGAGCACCCCCATTCTGTATGGCCTCATATCCCCCACAAAAGCTACACTTCTCCCCCAAGCCGTTGAGATCAGGAGCTCTTCATTCTGGTCCCTCGGATGACTGGAATTTGGGAGCTGTGAGGACATGGTGGTGTCTCTTGCCTGGCGACACATCTCATGGTTTTGTCTATAATTGTGGCCTCAGTATGGGGAAGTATGCTGCCTGAGACACCTTCTGTAGCAGCCTCCTGTAGTACAGGTTTCCCAGGTGAGTCATAAGAGATACATTGGGTACCTGCGAGAGGCAGGGTTCTGACAAACAGAAAGCAAATGTAGTTCCAAGGGTTTTGTCTTTCTTTCTTTTGCGTGGGTCCTGGGCTTTGAACTCAGAGCCTGGGCACTATCTTTGAGCTTTTGTGCTCAAGGTTAGTATCCTGCTACTTGAACCACAGCTCCACTTCCATCCTTTTTTAGATGAGAGTCTCACAAACTTTTCCTGACTTTGAACCCTGATCCTTAAATCTCAGCCTCCTGAGTAGCTGGGATTACAGGTGTGAGCTTCTGCTACTTTCTTAGGGGTTTCACTACATGTGTCCTGCTGAGCCTGTTTCCCTCTTCCACCCAAGAAGACGAGAGAGGAGACCTGTGTTTTGTGCAGCACTGGGGAGCTAAGGGCTCATCGCACAGTGATTACAAAACATCATGCTCTGGGTTTTGAGCGGTCCATGAATCTGATGAATCGGTGTCCCTGCCCATGTCTTTGCTAAAAGGTTCTTCCCACCATCCTCCCCTCCCCTCCCTCTTCCTCCCCTCCCTCTCCTCCCCTCCCTTCCTTTTTCCTTTCTTTCCTCCTTCTGTTCCTTTCTTCTTGCTTTCTCTACTTCTCCCTCTCTCCTCCCTCCTCCTCACTTCCCCCTTCAGAACCAGGACTTGAACTCAGGGTTTGCAAACTCTCACTTTTTTTTTTTTTTTGGTCAGTATGGGGCTTGAACTCTGAGCCTGGGCGCTGTCCCTCAGCTCTTCAGCTCAAAGCGAGTGCTCTACCACCTGAGCCACAGCGCCACTTCCAGTTTTCTGGTAGTTTATTGGAGATAAGAGTCTCACCGACTTTCCTGCCTGAGATGGCTTTAAACCACAATCCTCAGATCTCAGCCTCCTGAGTAGCTAGGATGACAGGCGTGAGTCACTGGTGCCCAGCCTCTCACTTTGTTTTTGTTTTTTTTTCATTGAAGGCTCCTAACACTCTACCTCTTGAGCCACACTCCACTTTCAAAAGTTTTGGTGGTTTTATTGTTGTGTGTACATGTGCACACATGCGTGCGTGTGTGTGCACGTGTGTGCATGCATGCACGCGCATGTACATGCCAGTTCTGGGGCTTGAACTCAGGACCTCAAGCTCTTGCTTGGCTTTTTTTTTCCTTCTTCACCCCAGGGTGGCGCTCTCCTACTTGAACCATGCTTCCATGTCTCTCCATCTTTTGGATGCCTGGTCCTTGTGCATTTGTCCTCTGATGCAGATCCACTGGTGCACACACACACACACACACACACACCCCAGTCTGTTTCTCTCCCTCCACGTCCCGACCACACACAGAAGTTGGGGTGTGTCTCCCCACCTCCGCAGGTCTCGGCCTGCTTCCCAGGTGGACACAGCCCCAGAACCTCTTACCTAAGAGGAAGATTTGTTGGTGTGAAGCCTGTCCGGCCTGTCAGGTGCCCGGCACCACACACACGGGCATTGCACAACCAACACAAGCCACTATTGTTACTCCTGAGTGTCTCCACCCCGTGACAACCCTGTCCCAGCCCTGGGGGGTTCCACCTCGGCACCTCCATTCTACCCCTCCACCATGACACCCGTGCCAGAGGCCCAGGCCCAGTACTGAACACAAAGTGTGGCTCATGCCCTCGCTGGGCCCATTACTACGGAAACTTCAGCTCAATCTGCCCAAAGTCCCAGATCCACCCCCCCAAAAAAAAATCTTCCCTATGTCACAGACACCACACACACACACACACACACACACACACACACACACACACACTCCTCTGGACAAGTAGCATTTGTGCTTCTTGCCCTTCCCTCTCTAGGCAACACAGCTGACCAGGCAGAGAGATGACAATGGGTCACAGACATTTATTCACAAATCTCAGGATTCCCCCCATCCCACCCCATCCCCCGCTAAGGAAATCCGGGAGCCTCCCCCCCCCCAGCTTCTCCAGGCCACGGCGACCAAGACATTGTCGCTGAGCATCAGTTTATGGCATGATGTCGGCGACGCTCTGCAAAAGAGGAGAGGAGAGGGGTGAACCCAGGATTCACCGCCATGAGGTGCCCCATTTTTATTTATTTATTTTATCTCAAGGGCTGGGTGGTACCTCTGAGCTTTTTTATCCAAGGCTGGAGCTCTACCACTTGAACCACCTCCACTTCTAGCTTTTTGGTGGTTCATTGGTAATAAGAGTCTCATAGATTTTCCTGCCCGGGCTGACTTTGAACTATGAGCCCCAGATCTCAGCCTCCTGAGTAGCTGGGATGACAGGTGTGAGCCACCGGTGCCCAGCTGAAAGATGTTTTTTATACACTCTCCTTCCCTGACTTCCAGATGCCTTGGCATTGTTTCTGCCAGCTTATGTTGGCTAGATGAAAATGGAAAGCTCCCTTACCCCCCTCCCCCCAAAAGAGAAAGAGCAGGAGCAGAGCTTGGTGGGGGGGAACCGGCGGGCTGGACTCGTTAGGTTGGGGGATGCGATGGGAGAGCCAGTGTTATCATGGAGAAAAGGAAGCAGCCCTGCCCCGCACTCACCCTCCACAGAGCCTGCAAATCCATGAAAGGCTTGTTGGCCGACGCCTGGAAATCAAGGACAAGGTCAGTCACCAGCCTCAGCTCCCCCCCCCCCAGGCCATCCTAGGAGGAATCCTAAGTTGCCTCCATCACCCTCTTCCCCCACGTGCGGGGGGGGGGACATAAAGACTTACCCCAGATGCCAATGGCGTTGTGGCGGCCCCTCCTTGATGGCCGGAAGCCCCGCCTTGATGGCTGCTGCCCTGTGAACAAAGACCAGATCATCCTTCTTGCCACCCCTCCATCCTGCAGGTCCTCCCGCATTCCCCCCCCCCCCGGGTCCTGCACCCCTCTAGGATGACTTGGGCCTGTCCCCTGACCTCAACACTCACTGTCCAGAGAGATCCCCCCCAAAGCCCACCCATGGCACAGAGCAAGCAGTGAGAAGAACTTCCTGCCCACCCAGCCTCAGATGTGTGTCTGATTCCTGTTAATATTTAGCCAAGCCCCTCATTTCTGTAAAAAAGGGGCCTCAATGGAAAGAGGGGGGACCCAGAGGACCCCCACAAGGTAATGCCTACCAGGTCTAGTCTTAGTCCTAAGCCAAACATGCACACACACACACATACACACACACACACACACAAGTGTGCATGCACACCTGCACGCGCACCTGCACCTGCTTTTCTCCAAGCCTCCACATGTGCAAGTCTGACTTAGGGACCTCTCCTCATGGAAGACACCCTTGGTCTGGAACTCAGGGGTGTCCTTGAAAGCTGAGACCATTCTTCAAGATGGCATCTTAGCTTGTTCATGAAGCTTGGAGAATGAATGGGAGATAACTGTTTCTTTGGCTTCCAGAGGGGCCTCTCTCTACTTAAATGGCTAGTGGATCCTCTAGGAAGCCTCCCTTCCCTTATCAGAGCAAAGAAGAGAAAGAGCCAGCACCTGCAATTTCCCATCTGGCACTGGTTCATGACCTTGGCAGGTGTGCCTCAGTTTCCCTATCTGAGCATTAAGGAATAAAGGGCCCATCCCACTACCTCCAGGCTCCCCTCCACCACATCTGTACTAGAGAAATCTGATTTCTGTTCCTAGGAGAGGCCTTCATGGTCCCCTCTACTTTAGTCTACCTTAACTAAGGACAGCTCCCTGAGGACGGGGACCCTCTGCTCTGTCTGGACTGCGCTTTGCAGATAAGATGCATCTGACCCAGCTCTTCTATAAAGAAGATGGGGAAGAAAGGAGGGGAGCACAGATACACAGCTACCCAAGCTTCTTTTTCTGCTAGTTCCAGGATTTGGACTCAAAGCTTGGGCCCTGCCCCTTAGCTTTCTTTTCTTCCTTCCTTCCTTCCTTCCTTCCTTCCTTCCTTCCTTCCCTCCTTCCTTCCTTCCTTCCTTCCTTCCTTCCTTCCTTCCTTCCTTCCTTCCTTCCTTCCTTTTCTTTCTTTCTTTCTTCTCCATCTTTAGGTTAACATCTACCACTTAGCTCCACTTCCAGATTTCTGTGTGCATGGGTGGGGGGGGGGGTACCTTAGAGACAAGAGTCACATTGGCCTCCAACCTCCACCCTCGATCCTCAGATCTCAGCCTCCCGAGTAGCTAAGCTGACAGGTGTGAGCCGGCTCCCCAAACTTCTTTCAGCAAAGGCTCCATGGACCCCCCCCAAATATCCCCAAGGTTGAATCCCTCCCTCCTCCAGCCCCTAATCATCCCCCAGGGGTTTCTCCATTCCCCACCACAGTTCACCTGATTGGCCTCCTTGCCGGCTTGGTTGACCCCATAATGAACATTCTGATGCAACCTGTCCATTTCTTCCCCGGCCTGGTCGGCAGTATGGTGGACACCTTGGCCAAGTTTCTCCGCTTCCTTTCCGGCCTGACCAGCAGCATTGTTGAGCCCTTGGCCAAGCTTCTCTGCCTCCTTCCCGGCCTGATGGAACCCATCGTGGACCCCCGGGACCACCTTGTCTGCTTCCTTTCCGGCCTGTTCAACGGCATGGTGGACTCCCTGGCCAAACGCCTCCACCTCTTTCCCAACCTGGTTGACCCCAGCCTGAACACCAGGAATTATTCTTTCTCCCACTCCCCCGGCCTGCCCCGCTGAGTAATAATGACCACCGCCATGGCCAAACTGTTGGGCCTCCATGGCGGCATGGCTGAGCCCATGGTGAGCGCCCTGGACCACCTTGCCTCCCTCCTTCCCAGCCTGCTCCAGGGTGTGGTGAGCCGCCTCCCCTAACTTCTCAGCCTCCTTCGCTGGCTGACCAAAAGCATGGTGGGCCCCTTGGCCAAATTCATGACCAAACTTCTCTGCTTCCCTCCCGGGCTGCCCAAAAGCATCCTGGGCCCCTTGGCCAAACTTCTCTGCCTCCTTCCCAGCCTGCCCTGCGGCATGGTGGATCCCTTGGCCAAATTTCTCAACTTCCTTTCCAGCTTGACTAAAAGTATGGTGGACTCCTTGGCCCAATTTCTCTGCCTCCTTCCCAGCCTCGCCAAAAGTATGGTGGGCCCCTTGGCCAAAAGGATGGTGGGCCCCTTGGCCAAACTTCTCTGCCTCCTTTCCAGCCTGCCCTGCGGCATGGTGGGCCCCTTGGCCAAACTTCTCTGCCTCCTTCCCAGCCTGCCCTGCGGCATGGTGGGCACCTTGGCCAAACTTCTCTGCCTCCTTCCCAGCCTGCCCTGCGGCATGGTGGGCCCCTTGGCCAAACTTCTCTGCCTCCTTCCCAGCCTGCCCTGCAGCATGGTGGGCACCTTGGCCAAAAGTATGGTGGGCCCCTTGGCCAAACTTCTCTGCCTCCTTCCCAGCCTGCCCTGCGGCATGGTGGGCCCCTTGGCCAAACTTCTCTGCCTCCTTCCCAGCCTGCCCTGCGGCATGGTGGGCACCTTGGCCAAACTTCTCTGCCTCCTTCCCAGCCTGCCCTGCAGCATGGTGGGCACCTTGGCCAAAAGTATGGTGGGCCCCTTGGCCAAACTTCTCTGCCTCCTTCCCAGCCTGCCCTGCGGCATGGTGGGCCCCTTGGCCAAACTTCTCTGCCTCCTTCCCAGCCTGCCCTGCAGCATGGTGGGCACCTTGGCCAAAAGTATGGTGAGCCCCTTGGCCAAACTTCTCTGCCTCCTTCCCAGCCTGCCCTGCGGCATGGTGGGCACCTTGGCCAAAAGTATGGTGAGCCCCTTGGCCAAACTTCTCTGCCTCCTTCCCAGCCTGCCCTGCGGCATGGTGGGCACCTTGGCCAAAAGTATGGTGAGCCCCTTGGCCAAACTTCTCTGCCTCCCCTAGAGCATGGTGGGCCCCTTGGCCAAGCCTCCCAGCCTCCTTCCCGGCCTGCCCCGCGGCATGCCCCCCTGCCTCACTTCCCGCCTGATTGACCCCATGATGGATTACTTTGTCTGCCTCCTTCCCAACCTGTCCAGCAGCGTGGTTGACCCCATGGGCAAACTTCTCTGCTTCCTTTCCTGTGTGTCCGACGCCATTGTTGATCCCATGGACCACCTTGTCCATGCCGGTGTTGACGCCCCTCTCCACCTCCTTGCTGGCCTGGCTGCTCATGTGGCTCAGTCCATTAAACACCTTCTCCACTTCCCTTCCGGCTTGTGTGAGGCCATTGTTGATGCCTTCCAGGGCTCTGCCCACCTCCCGCTCGGCATTGCTCAGCCCGCGGTTGATGCCTTCAATCACCTTCTCCAGGGGGTCCTCGCTGGCTGCCCGAGCAGGCAGTGCCCCCAAAAGCAGGAGGAGGCAACAGGAGCTGAGCACACTTGCCCGATGCATGTTGCTGGAGAGGAGGGAAGGGTGCAGAGAGAGGCCCGGGCGGCCAGCCTGCTATTTATCCTCCGCCTCCCGCCCTCTCCTCCACCCCTCGTGACTCAATTACCCTTGTGTGCAGCACAGACTTGGTCCTGGACGGAGGTATTTCCCAGGGAGATTTGGGTTGAGCAATCTAAAAGAGGAGGAAGATGAGTGAGTCAAGCACAGACAAGATGCCCTGGCATTCTTCCCCTTGCTCTACTCAGGCTCCTCCACCCTGGAGGAGGCTGCCTACTCCACCAGTCAGCTCCTGGCTTTCTTTGTCTCTCTGTCTCTGTCTCTCTCTTAAATCCAGGTGAATAGGTAGCTACAGCTCCCATTTTCTCCCCTAAGGGACCCAAACATCTAATTTTCCCGAGCATGGAGAGTTTTGGAAAATGGAAAAGAAAAGAAATAATGGAGCCAGTCACCAGTGGCATACACCTGTCATCTTAGCTATTCAGGAGGCTGAGATTTGAGGATCGTGGTTCAAAGCCAGCCTAGGCCAGGGGCATGTCTATAAAACTCTGATCTCCAATTAGCTACCAACAAAAAGTTCTGAAGTGATAGAGTGCTAGCCTTGAGCACAAATGCTCAGGGACAGCGCCTAGGCCCTGAGTTCAAACCCCAGCTCAGGCACAAAATAAAAGAAAGACAAAAGGAGGTCCGAGGGAAGAGGAGGGAAGTACTCCAGGAGAATTGAGGGACTATCATCAGATCTTTTTCTTTGAGGTTCCGCCATCATTCTGCACTAGCCACATAGGATGTGTCAGTTTCTCAGAGACTCCCACACTCGAGTCCTTGCTCTTTTTTGTCTAGAATACAGAACCCAGAGATTCGGAGGGGGGCGGAGGGCTCCTCCAATTCTATTTTAAAGCCTTTCCTGATGGTACCTGAACAGCCCAGAACATGGTGTGGAATTACTGTTATGCTATTCTTCAGAATTGAACAGCAATATGCCAGGCATGGCAGCTCACATCTGTAATCCCAGCAACTCAGGAGGCTTAGCTCAGAGAATCATGGTTCAAAGCCAGCTGGGAATGAAAAGTCTGTAAGACTCTTTATCTTCAATGAGTCACCTAAAAAGCTGGAAGTAGATCTGTGGCTCAAATGGTAGATCATTGGCCTTGAACGGAACAAGCTAAATCACAGCACCCAGGCCCTAGTTCAAGCAAAGAAGAAAGAAAGAAAGAAAGGAGGGAGGACAGAGGGAAGGAGGGAGGGAGGGAAAGAAGGAAAGAATCCAGGCACTTATTGGCACATGCCTGTAATCCTAGCTACCCAGAAGGCTAAGTGATATCTGAGGATCAAGGTTCAAAGCCAGCCTGGGCAGGAAAATCTATGAGACTCTTATCTTCAGTTCACCAGAAAACTGGAAATGGAACTGTGGCTCAAAGTGGTAGAGTGCTAGCCTTGAGCACAAAAGCTCAAGGACAGGCCCTGAGTTCAAGTTTCATGACCGCCCCCTCCCCCCCAAAAAAAAAGAAAAGGAAGAGAGGAAGGAGGGAAGAAAAGAGAAAGAAAAGGAGAGAAAGAGGAAGGAAGGAAGGAAGGATTGATTTACAACAATGTGAAAAATCAATCAGCACGGATTAGAGAAAGCCCTGGGAACAGAGTCCAAGCTTAAGCCTGAGTTTCTCAAGTTGCTCCAAAGAAGGGCATCAGGAGTTCCACAGCAGCCTGTGGGGGGCAGGGTCCCTTAAGAGAATGTGGTAGATTTTAGAGACAGGATCATGTTGGCCAAACAGAGAGCCAGGCCTCCCGCCTCCCAGCCCTTAGGCCAGGGCAGGGGGCAGATTGCCACGTGCAGAAGCAGGACGCAGTGTCTCCTGAAAAGCCGGTTCAGGCAACTCTGGGGAGGGGCCTCCCCCCAAAAAGACCTGTGGCTGCCAGCCAGAATGTGGGCAGGGGGCCAGGATGGCTTTCCTTCCTTGCTCTCCTTTCCTAAAGCTTCCGAAGCCCTGAGTTAAATTCCCATATGTTGGCAGATCCGCTTGGGTTGGAGAAACCACACACACACACACACACACACACACACACACACACACACACACACACACACACACACACACACACACACACAGAGCCATGAGATTACAGAGAATGTGATTAAGTGTGTTGGAAGGATGAGTTGGGGGTAGCTTGTGGGTTCGTGGCCACATGCCTACCTGGGAGCTGCTTTGAAGGCTGTGGGTGGGGACAGCTGGGTGGCAGGGGTGGAAGATATTTGGGTTTGAGCCTGCATGAGGGGGTGGCCGGGGTGGGCTGGTGGGCAGGCATGGCACAGAGGAATGGATGGGGTGTGTGAGCTGGGTGTGGTGCCCAGGTATGGTAAGTATCTACATGTGATTTCAAACCAGGGCACAGGACCCACTCCCCTCAAACAACCCATGGCTCCACCCAGAATCCACCACCCCCAGCTCAGGTCAGAGTTCCAGAAGTTTCTGCCACTTCCCCATCTCTGTCAACAGCGAGTGACTAAATTGGGCCATCTCGACAGGTTGGAGTTCATGAGATCTGTTTCCAAGTTTCTTTTGTTTTGTTTGGCCAGACCTGGGGCTTGAACTCAGGGCCTGGATGCTGTTCCTGGGCTTTTGTGCTCAAGGCTACCTAGCATTCTACCACTTGAGTTATAGCTCCACTTCCAGCTTTTTATGCTTCATTGGAGATAAGAGTCTCATGGACTTTCCTGCCCCAGCTGGCTTTGAATACTGAGCTCCTTAGATCTCAGCCTCCTGAGCAGCTAGGATGACCGGTGTGAGCCACCTGTGTCAGCTTCGAGCTTGTTTTTAAATGCATTCCATCTTTCCTTCACTATCCTTCGTGCATCCCTCCATTGCGTCTCAGCCCCCATTTCTCTCCTCATATATCTGTTGTCTCTTGGGACTGTTTGATGCAGGACTTTAACATCTGCCTTCCTAAGTGAGATTAGTTAGATTTATCCTTTCTTCTACCAGCAGCCTCTGCTAGGTAACATGGTGGTCCCTGGAAATCCTAGAGCAGAAGGAAGAAGTTTCAGTAGTTCAAGAACCATTTTGGCCTCTGCTGTAACTGCATGGGCACACTCCCGCATCAGCCTCCTGAGTGCTGAGGCTCCAGGTGTGTGCCACCGAACTGGATGTTTACCTGTTTGTTGTTATTTGTTTGGTATTAGGGATCAAGCTCAGGGGGCTTGGAGCCATCCACTTGAGCCATCCACTCTTGGCCAGTTTGCTTTTATCACTTGAGCCATCCACTCTTGGCCAGTTTGCTTTTAGTTTGGTTTTCAAATAGAGTCTCCTCCCGCTTTATTATTTTTATTTTTTTTTTTATGTTTCACTTATGAAGGCAGATGTTACAGTCATGCATCAAACAGTCCCAAGTGACGGCAGATCCGTGAGAAGAGCAATGGGGGCTGAGATGTGATGGAGGGATGTTCAAAGGACAGCGAAGCAAGGATGGAATGCATTTAAAAACCAACACTGGGGCTGGGAAGGTGGCTCAGTGGTAGAGCGCTTGCCTTGCAAGCCGGAGGCCCTGGGTTCGATTCCTCAGTACCACATAAGCAAAAAGAAAAAAGCCGGAAGTGGCGCTGTGGCTTAAGTGGTAGAGCGCTAGCCTTGAGCTGAAGAGCTGAGGGACAGCACCCAGACCCAGAGTTCAGGCCCCACGACCGGACCCAAACAAACACACACACACACACACACACACACACACACACTAAGCTGGCACAGGTGACTCACGCCTGTCACCTTAGCTTCTCAGGAGGCTGAGATCTGAGGATCAAGGTTTGTTTGTTTGTTTTTTCAGGACTTGAACTTGAAATCCAATGCTGACTTTTGCTCATTGGCTGGCACTCTACCGTATCAACTATGACTTCAATGCATCCTCTCACTTTTGCCCAGGCTGGCTTTCGACTTCAGTTCTTCTACCTCTACCTCTTCCTGAGTAACAACTAGGATTATAGTCATGCATCACTATGACTGGCTGTTTATCACTTTGGGTCTTTACCGTTTTTTCCAGGTCCTAGGGCTCTGTCCCAGAGCCTCTCTGTTCTCAAGGTTAGCACTCTACCACTTGAGCCACAGTGCCACTTCCAACTTATTCTGTTTATGTGGTACTAAGGAATCGAACCCAGGGCTTCATGCATGCTAGGTAAGCACTCTACCACTAAGCCACATTCCCAGCCCCATGGGTCTTTACATTTTTTAAACAAAAGTTTTGATGGCATCTCACACATGTGGTTGAAAAGTTGTTCCTAGTGACTCTTTTTCAGTTCTAGCTTTGCCTGCGCTGGACTTTTCCCTCCTTGGTTACGTAGGATCCTTGTGTGATGAATTGTTTCACTCTTGTCCTTGCTGCCCCGTCTTTCTTTCATTCTTTTCTTCTTTTTCCTCCTTCTTCTTCTCCTCCTCCTCCTCCTTTCTTCCTCTTTCCCTCCCTCTTGTACAGGTAGTGGGGCTTAAACTCAGGGTCCAGGCTGGCACTCTACCACTTAAAGCCACAACTCCACTTCTGGCTTTATGCTTATTCACTGGATATAAGAGTCTCCCTGACTTGTCTGCCAAGGCCAGCTTCATGCTGTGATCCTTAGATCTCAGCCTTCTGAGTAGCTGGGATTAAAGGTGTGAGCACTGGCACTCAGCTCCCATTTATTTTCAGTTCTACTTGTCTCAAGCTATTCAAACAGCTAAGTCCCACCAACTACTGTCCCATAGGAAGTACTTAGAACCTTAGCTCCCATGCATTGGAGAAGGAGATGATGTCACTTTGTGATATTATTTTTTTTCTTCCACCCTTCTTTCTAGGATGGTGACTCCTATCTGGTACGAGGCCCCACACCCCTTTGGTCACAGCTACGTGTTAACCAGCCTTACAGGTGAAGGTGCCTGGCCATGAGTCACTGATGTACAACCAAACCCTTACCCCCTGGGGCATCATGAGTTCACCTGTACTCTTTGGTTTTGGTTATTATAAAGTTGCTGTACAGAGGGGTTACAGTTACA